GGCTTCAAGTCCCTGCTTAGTACTCTTTGAACATCTCTCATACTTTGAAAACCTTCTTAGGGTCACCCTAAGTTGGCTGGATAGCTCTGTTGTTTAGGTCTCTGGCTACAGAGCCTGAGACGGGGAGTTCGATTCCCCCATTGTGCCTCCTGCAAGTACAGCTAGCCTTGCTGGCTTTGAGCAAGCTGCAGAGTCCCAGGGTGCCCTAAAAAGAAGGGAATAGTAAATAACTTCTGAATATTTTCCACCTGGAAAATCTTGTAACGGGTCACCAAAAGTCACAGTTGATTTGACGGCACATGATGGCTATTACAAACTGGAACCAACTTGATTCCACAGAACAACAATATCATACAGTAGTTAGGTTTCTTTTGGGTGATTTTTATGTGTGACATCAGAGTTGTGTTCTATAAGAACAGGAGTGGCTCTAATAACAGTTTCCTCCTCTTCTTCTTCCTCTTCCCCCCTCCTACTCTCCCTCTCCTTCCTCCTCTCTTTCTTAGCAAGCACCCCAAGTTTTCCAGGGTCGGAAGGCATTTGAATCTATTCGGAAAACCCATCAGAAAAGCCTGAGAATATTCAACCATACAGAGAGGTTGGAACCTCCCTGTAAGCAGACTTCTGCTGCGTGATCAGGCGAATGTGTCTAGTCCAGGTTACTGTGGTTTCCCAAAGTAACTGGCTAGCCAGCCTGCTGGCTCTGGGGAGCTCCTAGACAAGGAACAAATATGGCACCAGTCCTTTAGTGTGATTCCCCACCACCACCACCACCACCAAATGTGGACGCTGTGTGTGGAGATGCCACCTGGTGTGCAGGTACCAATTTGTGAGTTATATTATCCTTTTTGGTTGTTGACGTAGGCACCCACCCCCTCCAGCTTTTCATGCATGATGTCTTGGGTACCCTTTTCTCATATCAAGGATGACCCTCTCCAGCACAACATATTGCTGAAATACCACCTTTGCCTGTTATACATAGTATACATAGTATTTATTCACCTGGTTCTGCTCTGGCTTCTTAAGAAGTGTGATAAGTGCATTTCAATTTTTTAAAAAAGAACAAGAATACAATGCAACTGTGTATGTATACTATCAGATATGGATGTGATCTGATCAAACAACAGAATATTTAATCTCAGATATATCTGTGATAGAATGCCTGCAATGGAACTACATTTAACTGTCCAGACAAGTTCTTAAGAGAGGCCACAAAGAAAGTTCTTTGCATTTGAAAACACTCAATGTTTCAAAGACTTTGGCCTTCAAAAAGAGGAAAAACGTGGGAGGAGTGGTTTCATCAGTCCCAGACATAGTGTTGAGTAAGACTGAGTATGAAGGACTATCCTCAGAAAATACATGCTCTTTCATTCCTCAGTTTAGCGCTGATCAGCTGAGCAGTAAAAGCAGAAAAGGCTGCTTATTTTAATGTTATGAGGTATGAAGTAATGGTTATTACAAGTTCAGTAATTTGGGGCCAGAGAAGTACAGGCTGGACATGTTTATTAGTTCATTGCTCTGGATTTCTATTCTGAACAGTTTTGCTTAAAATCCAGATACTGCTAGTGAGGGACATTTGAGGATTTGGACAAGGCCTCCTTTTCATTACACCACAGAAAAACAAAACATACCTCTGGAGCTTTATATATATGTATATATAAAAGGAGAGAAGAGGACACATATAAAGAAGCCTTCCAGTTCTGTGTCCTCCTCTCTCCTTTCTGTGGTAAATTAAGAAGAAAAACTGTGGACCTTGGAGGTTTATGTGACAAGAATTCAGCCATAACTGCTCCAACAGCTATTATTGCATACAATGAAATGAAATGAAAAGCCTGCTATCTGCTGCTCTTATGGTCTCCAGTTGTGTTCCTCTTGCCATCCCCTCCTGGCAGCATTCAAAAACTGATACTTTGAGGCTTTGGTAGGCCTGAGGAACAAGATGAAAAAGTTATTTACGAGGTGGAGCCACCCTCTCCACCAGGCCTATTTCTGTCATTGAACGGTCCCAGCAGGCAGAGATGTAGCTTTGCGTTTGCTCACTTGAAACCATGCTTTAATATTTCATACAGAAAAAAAAATGTATCTTTTAAACACGTTGCCAGCCCTCATTGCAGATATATATATATCTAATCACGCATATGATTATATTCTAATTTTCCACACTCCTCCTGTATGTGTGTTGAATCTGAGGCAGCTTCTCCAATTTATTCCACACATCCTGCTGGCTATTTTACTTTGGTTACTTCTCCAAGCTTTATCTCTAAAGAAGGAAAGTCCCTTTAAATTCAAAATGTGGCAATATTTTCGCTGTTTGCAATTCAAAGGAAATCATTACCCTAACAAATTTGTTTTTTCCTGACTTGGGAGAGTTTCCATTTTGCTATCTGTGGGAAGGGGAGAAGGACTTAGGTTGATGCCTGTTGAGTGATGATGGACATTTTGGTTGGGGAAGAGGGGGAGGGGGAACAGGGTCTAGAATATACATGGTGCTTTACGAGGTAAAAAAATAAATAAATAAGTCATCGCCCAGTGGGGCTGACAATCTAAAAATCCACGCAGGTGGGCAGTTGTGGCTTTCCCTGCGCTTTTTTTTCGCTTGCCCCTCCCATCACCTCTGGCCAGCACAGCCAATGGTGAGGGGTGAGGGATGGTGGGAGTTGCAGTTCAAAAACCTCTGGAGTCCCCCACACCGATTATCTTTGCCATAGAGGAGGATGGCAAAGGCTCGCTTTCCTGCCACATTAGGAGAGTTTAGGAAAGTTACTTTCCAAGATTACAGTTCCCAGAATACTACAGCCAACATGCTGTCTGGAATACTGTATTCTGGGAACTGTAGTTTTGAAATATCCAAGCTCTGTGTTACAGGATGAGAAATAAATTTGTGCCATCAAGTCAAGTGCCCCTCCGGGGTTTTCCAGGTAGCAAATACTCAGAAGTGATTTCCCATTCCCTCCTTCTAGGGGCCACCCTGAGACATCTTACAGCCTGCTCAAGGCCACACAGGGAGGTCCTGTGGGGGAAATTCCCATTCTCTGGGTCAGCAGCCAGATACCTAAAGGAGCCATCCAACTAGCTGGATATCGGACAGTCTGGCTAAAAGTGAGATATAAACCAGAAAACACCATGTTCAAATTCCAATAACTTTTATCCATAGTTCCCCTTCAACTGCAATATTGGGGAAGGGGGGGGTTTCAACGACACCGATTTATCTTGGGCGTGGTTTTAATCTTTTGAGGCAAACACAGTCTCGCCTGTGATCTTCAGGGAACAAAATCCAACCATCGATGGAGGGGGGGGGGAGGACCAAAGCGAGCCACCATCGTGCTCGTTTAATCTTCCATCTCCTGCTGGACTCAGTACCTTATTCTTACCCAGGCGGACCCATCGAAGACACTTCAGCCAGCAGGGAGCAGGGGAAAGAGGCTGGTTTTGGGGAAGGGGGCTGCTCGGAAAGTGGCCTTTCTCTTCAGGCAGTGGGAGGAGCTGCTCTCCCACCTTTGCAAAGCGCAGAAGAGGAGCGGGGTGAGGAGGGGTGTGTGTGTTTGAATCGTCTCCAAAGAGAGGAGCAGAGGAAGCGAGAGGGAGAAAAAGAACTGATGGCTCTATTTGACCACTGAAAACCAACAGAGAACCAGCCGGTCGGCCTCCTTCTTTGCTTCCCGGGGGAGGATCTGGGAACACAAGAAGCCGAAGGCCGTTTTATCCCCACTCAAGTTACTTCAAAGGACGGCACCATGGAGACAGCCCCGCGGAACCAGCCAGAGGCCAAGAGTTTAGATAAGGAGGGAGCTTCTGCAAGGAACTCGAAAAATCCCAGCCGGCTCTACCGAAGGGTAAGAAAGCAAGAAGGGTAAGAAAGCAAGGCGCCTTTCTTTCCTCGTGTTTAGAGTGAGCGCTGCCTTAAGAGCGCGGAGTGGCGGGAAATGAGTTTGTGATGGCGGGGGAGGGGGGTGGCTGGGCTGGCTGCTATCAGTGAAAACGAAGGGTCGTTTTGATGAATTAAACTTAAGATACATATATATATATATTTAATCTTGGATCTGCATTTGGTGCAGTTGAGCTTTCCGGTTTAGAACTTTCCGGCAGTGTTAGAACTGAAACCCAGGGTGCCTGAAGGAAAGAGGAGGGAGGTGCTCCTGAGCATCTGCAGAGTGCTTTTTCTCCCCCCAGGAGCAATCCACACTTTTACAGTTGGGCTCGCAGTCAGGCTAGGACGAGGTCGGAATGGTTGGGGGCAGCTTAGTTAACGTGTGGCAGATCCCAGTAGGTCTGGGTTTGTCACAGTGATTTCCCATTCCCTCCTTCTAGGGGCCACCCTGAGACATCTTACAGCCTGCTCAAGGCCACACAGGGAGGTCCTGTGGGGGAAATTCCCATTCTCTGGGTCAGCAGCCAGATACCTAAAGGAGCCATCCAACTAGCTGGATATCGGACAGTCTGGCTAAAAGTGAGATATAAACCAGAAAACACCATGTTCAAATTCCAATAACTTTTATCCATAGTTCCCCCTCAACTGCAATATTGGGGAAGGGGGGGTTTTAACCACACCGGATTTATCTTGGGCGTGGTTTTAATCTTTTGAGGCAAACACAGTCTCGCCTGTGATCTTCAGGGAACAAAATCCAACCATCGATGGAGGGGGGGGGGAGGACCATAGGGAGCCACCATCGTGCTCGTTTAATCTTCCATCTCCTGCTGGACTCAGTACCTTATTCTTACCCAGGCGGACCCATCGAAGACACTTCAGCCAGCAGGGAGCAGGGGAAAGAGGCTGGTTTTGGGGAAGGGGGCTGCTCGGAAAGTGGCCTTTCTCTTCAGGCAGTGGGAGGAGCTGCTCTCCCACCTTTGCAAAGGGCGGAAGAGGAGCGGGGTGAGGAGGGGTGTGTGTGTGTTTGAATCTTCTCCAAAGAGAGGAGCAGAGGAATCGAGAGGGAGAAAAAGAACTGATGGCTCTATCTGACCACTGAAAACCAACAGAGAACCAGCCGGTCGGCCTCCTTCTTTGCTTCCCGGGGGAGGATCTGGGAACACAAGAAGCCGAAGGCCGTTTTATCCCCACTCAAGTTACTTCAAAGGACGGCACCATGGAGACAGCCCCGCGGAACCAGCCAGAGGCCAAGAGTTTAGATAAGGAGGGAGCTTCTGCAAGGAACTCGAAAAATCCCAGCCGGCTCTACCGAAGGGTAAGAAAGCAAGAAGGGTAAGAAAGCAAGGCGCCTTTCTTTCCTCGTGTTTAGAGTGAGCGCTGCCTTAAGAGCGCGGAGTGGCGGGAAATGAGTTTGTGATGGCGGGGGAGGGGGGTGGCTGGGCTGGCTGCTATCAGTGAAAACGAAGGGTCGTTTTGATGAATTAAACTTAAGATACATATATATATATTTTAATCTTGGATCTGCATTTGGTGCAGTTGAGCTTTCCGGTTTAGAACTTTCCGGCAGTGTTAGAACTGAAACCCAGGGTGCCTGAAGGAAAGAGGAGGGAGGTGCTCCTGAGCATCTGCAGAGTGCTTTTTCTCCCCCCAGGAGCAATCCACACTTTTACAGTTGGGCTCGCAGTCAGGCTAGGACGAGGTCCCAGCCATTTCATTTTTGGAAAGTAATGATCTTTTTGATGAACTGGGTTTCTAAATGTCATTCCAGCCGCGACATCCCCCCAGCCCATCGCTATTTTTGAACCTGCCATTTTTTGTAAGGATTGTGCTGTTTAAAAGTAGAACCGTCAGGTAGTGTTGAGAGACAGGCAGAAGAAGCGCTGGATGCTGGTGGTAAAGAACACGTTTGTGTCTGATAGATCCAGTCTTGAGCCATTTGCAGGCGCCTGGAAGCCGACAAATTCTGAGCTCCATTGGCCTTGATGCTTGGAATTGTGCTCCAAAGACTTATCAAGACAACAAAAAGAATAATAACAGCAGTTCAAAGCGGTCACTTGACCTCCACCACCGGGCAAGACACAAACCTATAAATTGCATGCTGCTGCACCTTCATGCTAGTGGGTGCAAATATTCTTCACCTTTGCAGATTTGCTTTCTGTATGATGAGTGGGGAGGAGATGGATCAGATCTCTCAATGATGTATTTAGCAGTGGCAACAACAATAAAGGCCTCTACTTGTTGAAAGGAAGAGAGCTGACAGGAAACTCACAATAGTTTGAAAGGACCTTGGGCTATATTCCAGTACCGAAACTAAAACTCCTGGCCTGAGCTGAGACCTATTCTGTCTTTCCTGCAGATCCACCACTCACCCACTCCATCTCTACTTTGGATCCCAATCTGGTTAGGGGGTCTAGTGTGTTTAGTAAACAAATGTCCCCTCCCCCAAAATGTATGTAAATCCCACAAGCCTGGAGTCTGCCAAGCACCAAATCCTGCTGAAACAACTTTATATTGCAAATAGCATCCTGTTTCATCCCTGGGGTAGAGGACTTACCTCCTGTTGACTTTTTGCCCCCCACCTTCAGCTGCTCTACCAAAAAACCAAACCAAACCAAACAAAAACCACACCGGAGAGATGCCTGCACAGACTACAATGGCTACTCCTTCAAAAATCCCATCTGTGGTGTTATACTGTAGGGAAAAAGCCACAATAATATTAAGAATATTCAAAAAGATCTGTACACTACTGTACAAACACCTTAGCCTATAGAGAACCCACATTTTAGAAGTCAGAATTGCCCTGACAAGAGGGAGCATTCTCCTTTAAAAATTAAAAAAATTAAAAAATGCTAGTATGGATCACTGCAAATTGGAAAACATGCAGACTTCATTGTAAGGTGCCTGTCTTCCTTGCAATCATAATAAATATGTTTAATTAACCACCATTGCCTAGTAATTTACTAAGATGTGCTTGGATTTTTTTTTTGTCCTCAATACACGGCCAGAAAAGGCAGTAGACCCTAATATGCCTGAGGTCTTCAACCTGTTTCAACCCACAAAGTTGAGGTTGTTCCAAGGCAGAAATGTTGCCAGATCTTCCTCCATAATAATAGGGAAAGTAACAAATTCAGTTAGTCTCTAGTAAAAGCCATCCTATTTGCCCAGTTTTTCCGTTCATTAATATAAGAAAGTAAAGCCCCACTGGGTCTTTCACCATTATGCTAGCATAGGTAAGAAAATTCCAAGGTTGTCTTTCCACCTCCTCATTCTGCCATTTTTCCTCTTCTTCTGCACTGCTGTGCTTCTTCATAACACCACCACCCTCTTGCCCAAGCCTGTTCCTACAGCTTCCCATCCTTCAACCTGGGACAGAAAAAGAAAAGTGAACATTTCCTAAGGATCACCTCCTCACTGTCAGTATTGATCACCTTTCCAGGGCTTATTGGTCCAACACAAAGCTGTATTCCCTGTTTTGAGTTGCAACAACAGGAAAAGTAAAAAAACACTATCATATGAAGTAATCAGTAAATACTTATTCAAACTACTTTAAGATGTTAACTAGTAAGTACATTTTTTAAAAAAAAGTTAGTAAAGACCCATGGCACCCCAAAAGCTAACAAACTTTTTTTTTGAGGCATGAACACCACCTACTTCATCAGATGCATGATATGTTACGTAGAGTTGGAAGTTTATCTCTCTTCAAGTTTGTTTGCTCCACAGTGCTGTGCTAAAGCACACAGCCACAGAGTATCCCGAGAGGCTGAAGTGTTCTCCCACTGATACTGAAATATTTCCATTTGTGATGTGAGATTAGTACATTGTTACTTAGAGGCTCACCTGCTTCCATAGGTAGAACCCAGAAAGGTCTTGCTAATACCTTGTTTCAATACTTCACATGGAAATATGAACAAACGAATACAAAATCCCCGTTGTTGTGGGTGGTGTGGTTAGTTCCAGCCGAAGTAAATATGTGGACACAGTGAGCATCTGGGTGGATAGCACGGTCTGGATCCTTGGTTTGTATCTTTGCTACATCACCTATTGTTGCTATGGGTAATAATTTAAGGTTGTTGCTCCAGGACGGCTACTCTAAGGTCAGTGATCTTCAACGGTAATTATAAAATAGAAAGATTCCACAACATTTCCTAAATAAAAGCGAGAGTGACAGTTCCTCGGACACACTGGGAGAAATAGGAAGGTACAGCTTCCTATTTACAGCCGTAAAAGTTTTAATTCTGATGGCAGATGTCCACATCACAGAGTGACAGAACTGAAGGAGGGCATGCTTTGACAAAGAATCTTTTGCCCTCCAGATGTTTTTGGTTTTCACCTCTGTGGCCAGCAATAAAGAAACTACAGGCATTGCATCCTGATTATACCTGGAGGTATAAAGATTCTCCTCCTGGCTCTAACTTGTAGGCCATGAGCCCTGTCAGTTAAATTGAATAGATATGCGCCAAACACACCAGGAACTGGTGAAACAAGGACTAGATATAGACTGTAATGTACCTTAAACTATAGTTAGTTCGGAATGTCACTACCCATTACTTAACTGGATCTACCAAGCTGTCTTCAAGGACAGTACCACACAGAACACTTCATAATAGTCAAGGCTGAAAGGTACAAAAGCATGGGTAAGAACCTTATGTTCCCAATCCTCTGCAGCACACATAATTGTTTAAATGCTGTCCCGGACTCTGCATATCAAAAAGCCAGTTAGGATCTATGAGGATAGCCTTCAAGGCCTTTTATGTTTGGGATAACTATCGCCTCAATCAGCAGCAAAGTAAGCTCTTCTGGAGTGCTAGGGTTTATTTCCCACTAATATTCCTGATGACTTTTCTGGAGTTGCCTTCAGTCGGTTCAGCTTCATCCATTCATTCAAATACAGTTTTCGAACAGTAGACATGAAGCAGTTTCAAAAGAGGGTGTTGTTGTTGTTTAGTCGTTTAGTTGTGTCCAACTCTTCGTGACCCCATGGACCAGAGTATGCCAGGCTCTCCTGTCTTCCACTGCCTCCCGGAGTTCTGTCAAGTTCACGTTGGTTGCTTCAATGACACTGTCCAGCCATCTCATCCTCTGTCGTCCCCTTCTCCTCTTGCCTTCACACTTTCCCAACATCAGAGTCTTTTCCAGGGAGTCTTCTCATGAGATGGCCAAAGTATTGCAACCTCAGCTTCAGGATTTGTCCTTCCAGTGAGCACTCAGGGTTGATTTCCTTTAGAATGGATAGGTATGTTCTCCTTGCAGTGCAGGGGACTCTCAAGAGCCTCCTCCAGCACCACAGTTCAAAAGCATCAGCTCTTCGGCAGTCAGCCTTCTTTATGGTCCAGCTCTCACTTCCATACATTGCTACTCGAAAAACCATAGCTTTGACTATGCGGACCTTTGTCAGCAAGGTTATGTCTCTGCTTTTTAAGATGTTGTCTAGGCTTGTCATCGCTTTCCTCCCAAGAAGCAGGCGTCTTTTAATTTCGTGGCTGCTGTCACCATCTGCAGTGATCATGGAGCCCAAGAAGGTAAAATCTGTCACTGCCTCCGTAACCTCCCCTTCTATTTGCCAGGAGGTGATGGGACCAGTGGCCATGATCTTGGGTTGTTGTTTTTTTTGTTGTTGTTGTTGATCAAAAGAGGGTAGCTTCTGTTTATTATCAGTCATTTCTCCACACGATACTCCCTATTTACCCATACCTGGGATAAAAGCATGGGATGATGGGAGCAGGGTAGTGGACCAGCTGCAGTACAGTATCCATACATTAATAAGAAGCTATGTATGTGGAACATATGAACTTATCCTTCGTGACCTGCACAGAGTGAGGGATGGGTTTAAGGGCCAGGCTTTATCCTAAATTCCCTTCACACTGGATTTAGAAAAGAATCACTTCCCCAGCATTTCGTTGTGAAAGCTTTTCTTCCTCTTCACCTGTTCTTGTAGATCTCTCTAGATTATTTAGTGTGGTGTTTTTTTTTAAATTACACATGCTGTACTTTTATGGATCAGCTACCACTTGAAAAGAAAGAAGTAGAATAGAAGGCAGAGAGAGAGAGAGAGAGACTGGTAGCAGTAAAAAAAAGAAGAAGAGCAGTAGGTTCTTACCCTGACAGAGTACAGAAGCTGCCCTTTCAAGAAGTGTTTAATCTCTGAAACAAAAGGCCAAGGGGATGGAGCTTATGTGGACACAAACTATCAGCAATAGGGGGTCTTCTAGCCTTTATAATGGAAATATAAGAGTAGCTATTATTCTGTGAACACACCAGTCAGGCTTGTTTTCACACTGTATGCCTGAAGGTACTGTTTTCCAATATCTGAATTTCTTTAAAAACAAAAACAAAAACCAGCCACCCTTATAACACCAAGGCCATCTTTCTCAGTAGTCAGTTACCATTATAAGTTAACTTACAAGTTATACATAGCAGGTAAGTAGCTAAGGATGTGCATGTGCCCCACCCCCCGACTTAGTGTGGGCCTGAATAAACAGCACACGGACTGGGGCAATCCTGCCTTGTGCCCTTTTTTTGTGATGATCCAACCTAATCTTTGTCAGAGTTTGTGACAGTATTGGTGCACCTCCGTTTCTCCATGAAGATCCCATTCCTGCACAGGGATAATGAAAAAGTGGCAAGGCAAGGCCATATATTGAATGGTGCAGCTATGATAGAAGCGCAAGGGTAGTAGACTGCATATTTGGATGCTCTGTTTTAACCACCAGCACCCTTTATTCCGGCTGCCAGAAGAAAGCCCGAATAGGCTTCCTAAGGCAGCCACTAGAAACGGAGTGAGTTTTAGAGGGCAATATTTCACAAAATAGGCTTCCTAAGGCAGCCACTAGAAAGGGAGTAAGGGAGTGAGTTTTAGAGGGCAATATTTCACAGTGATGTTTAATTCCTTCTTAAAAGTATGGTGCAGGGAGCCTGCTCATCTACACCTTCCATCCTTTCTCTCTCCCCCGCCCTTCTCTGCATTCAAAACTAATGCTGCTGCAACCTCAGACCTTGATTATTCTACCAACGGCTTTGTAGCAGGAAAGGATTATTTCTAAGGTAAACAGTATGCTGTCTTTCATTGCCACCAACATCCTTATTTTTTCATCTCCTTTTCTCATTTCAAATCATGAAATGTGAAGGCCGATTTTAACAGAAAATATATGAACCTCGGATATGAAGCACACCCTACTGTCTCCTACTTAGTTGTTGACTCACTACCTTTAACAAACCAGGAGGCAACAGCATGCAACACAATATGATCTAGCATGTAAACCAGATCATATTCTTCTAAAAGCAAGTGAGGCCATATACAGTAACTTTAAAAGTTACAGTACAGAATAAGCAGAGTTAGCTCCTGCTAGCTTATGGTCAAGATGTTACTATCTTTGCTCCTGGAAAAAGAAGTAGCATGTTATTTGTAAGTACTGTAGTTATATCCAAGCTCTGTTCTGAAAGCATTGCTACATATATTCCCTTTATGAATCTTTTCACTGAAAATAATAAATCTCAAAATCTCTCCATTCAAAGATGTCAGAAGAAAAACTGAATTGTGAGAAACACTTGGGATGATAATGGCTCTGTGTACAGAAATACCTCTGACCCTGTTTCATCTTAGGAGGCACAAGTTCACTTGATGAGTTTGGTTGCTGATAATACCTGTTTATCCTCTTGCTTCTGACAGTCCATCAAAACACAGATTGAGAAACGCCGCAGGGCCCGCATCAATGCAAGCCTAGAACAATTGAAGAAGCTACTTCAACAGCCAGTGGATCAACAGGTAAACACACTCGACTCCCAATAGGAAGCCAGGCAGCAGGTCCCATAAAGACCAACCCTAAGCCTCGGGCCAAAACGGATGAGCTCCTGGTATCAGAGCGGCTCTGCTTATTCACAAGGGGAGAAGCACTGATCATTTAAGGTCTTTCCACACCATATGCATCATATTCACCAAAGAGAGAATTCTTTATTTGCATTGTCCAAGTTCCAAAAAAAGTAGTTGGTTCCATAAGCCCTTTGGTCTCAAGCAGACACAAAATGTTTGCCCGGACCCCTCTTTTTATATTCTTTTTAGGCAGGTTGCTAGCTGGGCATGCACATTACACGTTTCTTTGTTTCCCTCTAGATATATGGTCCTTATCACCTATTGTGAAGTATGGAATGCTTAATATGTCTTCCATCACTTAGTGGACAGGTGTGGAATCTGCTTGCTCAGGAGGATCCTTGTACCAGGGTCTTCTTAACCCCCGAGTTTGCTCCACTCCCTCAATTAGCAGCAGATGTTTTTTGTCAACTTGCTGAGAGCATAGTTCAAAATGTTCAGTTCAAGAGTTGAATTTCTCACAATGAAGGCTTATAGCCAGAAATACAAAATCCCAAACTGTGGTTCCTCTGGTTCTATTGGTCTCCATCTTTGTGTCCTAACTCTCTCTCTGGTTCTTCACCTTATCCAGGCCAAACATGCACACACCTTACATTTCTAGTGTGGTATAGTGGGCAGTGATGGACTAGGACTCTGAAGAACAGGGTTCAAATCCCCACTTGGCCATGGAAACTCACTGGGCGAGCAGAACTCATAGAACCACTCCTTAAATATCTCACCTTGACAGTGATGGACTAGGACTGTGAAGAACAGGGTTCAAATCCCCACTTGGCCATGGAAACTCACTGGGCAAGCAGAACTCATAGAACCACTCCTTAAATGTCTCACCTTGAGGGCCCTATTAGGGTTGCTGTAAGTCAGTTCTGATTTGACAGCAGAAAACAACAACAGTTGTAAGCTATGATTAAATAGCATATTGGCTGTAGGTGCAGATTTATGGTCAATCTTCCATGAAGCAATTAGCGACTCAGCCCTGGAACCTGGTTTCAGTGTCTGGTGCATAAAGCTGGCCTGTATGAATTAATGATGAAGAGGGTGCCTCTGGGCATGTGTAAGGTGCATATCCATTGTCACAGAATCACCCCCAGAGAAGGGAGAGTGGTGGGCAAGACTGAACCCCTCCTTTGCCTTTGAGAAATTCTCCACCGTTGATTCCCTCTTTTAGGGTTAACAATTCTCTAACCAATGGAACAGTCCGTGAAGTCTACAGTTCTCTCAGCTTTGTTCCCTTGCAAACACTTGGGTCAGCCACTGGCTGGGATGCCCTTTTACGCCTGGTTTGTGTGACTCAAAAATCTTACTGAAAGAAGTGGCGTTCCACGTGAGATGTCCACAGAACAGGGCATGTCCCTGCTGGTCGGGCACTTGGTGGGACATGTCGGATGTCAGGACCAAATGGAGAAGGGGCGCGTCTGTTTGCCGTGCAGGTTCAAGGCCAGTTGCGTGGTTGGTTCTCGTTCTTATCTGATAAGTCGGGATTGGATCACAGGGCGTAAAGTTATGGGCCTTTGTGGAGTGGCACAAGGATAGGATTTAATGGACAGAGTGATGGACTAGGACTCTGGAGAACAGGATTCAAATCCCCACTCAGCCATAGAAACTCACTTGGGGAGTGAAACTGGTAAAACCGCTCGTTAAAAGTATCTCACTTACCTTGAAGCTATAAGCTGTTTCTGACTTGACGGCACAGACCAATTTGGCATTAGCACTTATGTGTTTTAACAATGTAGGAAGCAGGTGTTCAGAGATTCACCAAGGGCTTATCCGACTGTGCTCTGAAGCCGTATTAGCCGTGCTAGCTTGTATCTCATCTAATGCTCTAGAAGCAAAAGCACCTTTTCAAAATTACCATTGGATGAGCCCTTGATGAATCTCCGAAACCAGCTTCCTACACTGTTAAAACATGTAAGTGCTAATGCTAAATTGGAAACAAAGTATTCACACCACATCCTGTCCGAACAGCAGGGCTGTATACATGCTGGAAAGCAAGGCAATAAATGCTGCTGAAATCCTCATAGCCTGGTAGCTGGACTGTTGGTGCCTACATATAATTTCTCATGGTCAGACAGTGAGTTTAGTGTTCTACCTAGTTCTTTATCCCCTTTGTAAATTCCAATTTATTCTGCAGCATCTACCATATTGGAAATATTCTTATTTCTGCAACTATCAGAGAATAAGGTAATAGGCAGGGTACTAAAATGGCGCAATACAGTGGTGCCTCGCTTAACGATTGCTTCGTATAACGAAAAATTCACTTAACGATGGCTTTTTCGGAGTGATCTTCTGCTTCACTTAACGATTTTCCCTATGGGTGATTTTCGCTTAACGATTTTGGGACCATGCTTCACTTAACGATGACAGTTTTAGGTCCCCTTGTTTCGCTTAACGTTTTTTTTACCGTTGGATGAGCCCTTGATGAATCTCCGAAACCAGCTTCCTACACTGTTAAAACATGTAAGTGCTAATGCTAAATTGGAAACAAAGTATTCACACCACATCCTGTCCGAACAGCAGGGCTGTATGCATGCTGGAAAGCAAGGCAATAAATGCTGCTGAAATCCTCATAGCCTGGTAGCTGGACTGTTGGTGCCTACATATAATTTCTCATGGTCAGAGAGTGAGTTTAGTGTTCTACCTAGTTCTTTATCCCCTTTGTAAATTCCAATTTATTCTGCAGCATCTACCATATTGGAAATATTCTTATTTCTGCAACTATCAGAGAATAAATAAGGTAGTAGGCAGGGTACTAAAATGGTGCAATACATTGTTGAAGAAAGGAGAAAAGATGTAGATTTGCATAAATTTAGAATGGAGAAAAGATGTAGATTTGCATAAATTTATACAGGCTAAAGAACACTACATGCACAACCTTAATGAAGGCACTTTTCCAGTTCCCTTCAAATCAGAAAGCATTGATTCTATGGTGATCAGAAACCAGTAAATCACAAGCAACTCTGGGCATATGGAAAGCAGACGTGGGGAGTCTAAAAAGTCTGCTGTGGCTCATGGCACTTCCAGACAGAAGTCAAAAGCACTGTGTACCTTTTCCACTGTCCCGTCCTTACCACGCAATAGTGGGAAAGCATGGTTTAGAAACCATAGACATCATCTGGATGCCTGTAGAATTCCACCGAAAATGCATGATGATGGATAAGAAAGAACCTCCATTATAAGCACTCCTGGAATGGAAATTTACCCTTTTAAAAAAACCGCACTTTGTTTATTTGCTTTCCACAGGACACTAAAGCCAAGTCACATTTGGAGAAAGCTGAGATCCTGGAGATGACGGTGCAACAGCTTCGCCAGCTCAAGCAGCAAGGTAAGATAAACCTTCCTTCCTCTTGTGGCACAAGACCAAGGTAGGACACATAAAAGATGTCAAGTGCCTGCATGGAGGATAATGCTCATTTAGAGCATCAGAGTGTAGTTTCTGTGCCTGACCTTGTCTTCTCCCACCAGGTATGGTTGCTGTTTCTTCTTTCCAAGATGGGCAAGATTTTGCTGCTGGTTACTGTCACTGCCTTAAGACTGTCCACTTCTTCTTGACCTCAGCCAGTTCCTCTCCAAGTCAAGACAAGGCATCACAAATCTTGAAGTACCTGGAAGAGACTTCAGCTTCCATAGACTGGAAAACGCACAAGCCAGATTCTCTCTCCATGCCTCAGTCGGCCTTTCTATCGTCATCTCCTTCTCTGCAACCTGCAGGGACATCTTTTTCAGACTCTTACACCTTCACTGTTCGATCTCGGCTGCATCCTTCTCTGGTTTCTATGCTGCTGCCCCAAGTGCACGTGACTTGTATTCAGCCAGCATCACCTGCAACTACCACCCATATATGGAGACCGTGGTGAATAGCATTCTGCATCCAGGAGGCTTGCCTCCCTCATAGCCCAACCAAAGCAGAGGAAGTGTGGGTTACCTTCTGCGAACTCGAGCCTGCTCCTCAAGTAATAAACTGTCAGTATCAAGGACTTAGCAAAATAGATCGGCTCCCAGTTAAGAATCCACCTTCCTTTCTGATGCCGAACACTTTCTCCTATCTGATTGTGCTTTCAAACCTGCCCAACTCTCTGAACCAGTTCAGGACAAGCAAGTTGAATGAAAAGAACATAGCCTCCTAGTTATCTACATCTCATGGTCAAGGAAGCAATGGACACAGGGAAAATACAGGAGTCTAGTTGGCTTAGAAAAGTCATTTCAACCAATATGGTTTGCCTGGTGTCTGTGAAGTACCATTATTGGTGCAGTATTCACTTGCTAATTTAACAGGTTTTCCAGAGCTAATTCCATATTTTAGAGGCATGCTGCTGTGGAAGACTGGGGCGATGGTGGGCATTTGATGTCTTCTAACAAACAAAAGATGAGAAAATGTACTTTAAGCAACAGCAGTAAAGAATATCACCTCCAGTTCTAAGCAGAATTTTAAGTATTCTTCACAAGAGCTCTTGGTCTGAAAAGACAAAAACGGGCCTTGATCATTCTGATCAAGGACCAAGAGCAGGACCAGGGGATTCAGTGCGGCTCTTTTTGTGCTAAGGATTTCATCTCAGAGACAGCTGCACATGGGAGGAAAAAAGGGTAATAATGGTTTTTAATAAAACTAACCATACATTCGGTTTGTCAAGCAGTTTTTTTCACTAAGCAAGGATGTGAATTTTCCAGGCCAGGTGTCTCAACCATGTCATATAAAGCCAACAGAATTTCTACATCCTAGTAGAAACAGGATATCTACTCAGAGGCACAAAGCATAACAAGGAGGCGGACTCCGTTTGCTTTACAAGTCTCATTTCTTTATTCAACTCAGTAAACATCTAGTTACAAGTTTCACAAAATCAAATTTAATAAGATGGGGAACTGACTGGATTGAAGCAGAGAGGTAGGGCCTGTTTGGTTTGTCCACACCTCGCTGAGTCCCTTGCACGGTTCCACATGCACCTCATTTTCAGGGCGGGCGGGCGGGCTGCAAAGGTGGCTCAAGGTTATTTTTCCAAGTGCTTGAAAATAATAGCAGAGATTTGCCACGTGAGGTGGGTGAGTAGATTAAATAACATCTCCAGAACCAGCCAAACGTGGAGCAGGAAATACGACAGGATGGCAAAAACTCAGGGAGGTTACTCCTGCACCCCCCCAACACTAAGAGGAGGGTTTGGGGAGCTCAGTGAAATACAGGTAGGAGTTGGAGGAAAAAGAAGGAAAACTGGCATGTCACTCATTCATGGACAAGTCCCTCACATTCCCCTTGGCCACCTGCTCTATGCAAGGAGTAAAACTGTGCAGATAGTTAGTCACTTAATTTAAATCTTAAAAGAAGGGCAGGAAGCTAGTATTCAACTTGAGGAAGGTCCAAGTGATGTTTTGTAGGGGCTTCGCCATCAGAATTTCACTGTCTGTACCTGAACAGAAGGGTAGGAAGAGAAGCAGAGAAACAATAAAAATTGGTCTTTCAGCTAAGGTCAGTGTAATAAAGTCAAGGAAAGGGAATGGAAAAGAACACAAAAAACAACGATGAGCAAGACATTCGGCGCAAAATCCCCACAACCAAAATCTCATTAAATTCTCAACTTGCATTTGGGCTACAGCATTTCAAATGGCAAGCTGGGTCTTCAGTTTTGTATAAAGGAGATGATTTCTGGCATAAGGAGGAGGAAAGCTATAGCTTTACTTCTCATAATCTATTTTCTATGTGGAGGAATTATTTTAAAAAATGGATGTATACAATCCAACTGTAGACAGAGATAAGTGTAACCCATGCACAGGTTTGCCACTTTAATGAGAATTTGGGCGATCTAGTTTTAAACATCATCAGCCACTGGAGTCAGGTGAGAATCTGCACTCTTTCATTCAAAGGCCCAGTTTCTGACATAAAGCTTCCGTCACATGTGACTCGTGGCTGAAGGCGCTTCTACCTGTGTCCCCTCTACCCTCTTCCTCAGCATCATGGTTCTGCAAGTAAGTGATTCTCTTCGCTGAAAACCTGTTTTTATTCCAAGGATTCCTGAAGAGAAGAAGCGATGCCAGTCACCCCAGATTCAAAGCTCTCTACGGCAGGAAACCTATTAAACTTTAACTAAGCCTCACTGAAGTCAATATGAAATTTCTTTGAAATGTTGGTTGATTTTTTTAATTATTAGTACCTGTGGCTCGAAAGAAAGGCTACAGGAAAGAAAACTTTGCCTTTTGGGAAGCTCATGAGCCCAGCATGTCAAGAGATGCATCTGGACAAGACAGTATCAGATGAGCAAGTGATTGATAAAAGCAGGAGCTTCCAAATCTCTTTGCAGAGCTGGGTTGCCTTGAAAAAGCACAGGCCCTCCTTCAGACCTGTTTTGAACACAGCAAACGGCCTTGGCCTGTATCTTCTAAAAATTCTACTTGCATGCTGCCTTCCAACTAAGCTACTTCAGAGTGACGTAGATAGGAGTTCCCAGGTGGTCTCCCATCAAAGGATGCACAAGGCTCTGACATGCTTAATTTCAGGAACAGAACTACCCCAGGAACCAAATGAGTCATACCCCTGCTTTGTTTTGAAGTGTTTGTTTCAATTTCATAAAAGCATCACCTCTAGAATGACCCCTCATTTCCTTTACTTTCTAGAACCTCTCCACTACTGCCGCCAACAAACAGCTCTTGTTGGAAAAAATACATATATACCCTTCTTATGAATTTCCAGAGGGGTAGCCACTATTAGCCTATTGCAGCAAGAGCAAGAGAGTACTGTGGCACCTAAGGCTAGCAATCTGAGACATTAGCCTTCGTGGACTAGAGTCCACTTCATCAAAGGCATGGACCACTGCCCAAAACTTTGGATACAGATACATATTACACGTAGCTGAGGATGGAACTGCAAATGTTTCTCCTAAGGCATATTCACAGCAGCCATGTTTGCTAGGAGACCAAGAGACTGTAACACTCTCTTGCTTTTAGCCAGTATTCTGCTTTTCTATTTGCACCATTTTCTGTGTATGCTAAGAGGAACTTTAAAAGGAGAGCACCGCTTGGCACTAAGATGCAGATCAACCTCATACTGAAAAAAGGGCCTGGGTCACCACGTTGTACCTCCCTCATCTAAGATGATGAGACACATACTGGGCACAGTGCAAGGGGCCAAGGTTAAGACTTACAAGAGCAGAAAGGTAGATCTGGGGGTGACCGCAATGCACCCCCCCTTAAGTCTACTCTGGATTCACCAGTCGTACCGGCGCGACTGTCTTGTTGGGGACTCCTCTGGTCCCTGTATAGCAAGACGGGTCCCTTCGGCCCTACGGCCATTGTTTCCCTCATGACGCCGGTAATCCAGCCCTCTCTGCGTCCGGAAGCGGGATGTCTCTCTCCTCCATTCATCATCAAATGCGGCTGCATCACCTGAAAATTGGGAGAGGAGAGGCACCCACTGAGTGGGGTTGAGGCTAGCCAACGACTCTAGGAAAGGGGCAGGGCTGCTCGGAAGACTCACTCTCATCCAGGTTGATGTAGTCTTGCCTCTCCTCTTGGTCACCCGTGCGATGGTTGCGCGAACGCTGCATGATGTGTGCACGTTCCCGGATGTGGTGGCCTATTGACATCTGCTCCAGGCCGCTGTCCGAATCTCGCACCGTCCGCCTTGTCTCTCGGATCTGAGAGCCAGAGAACACGTCATCACTAAGCAAGCATCCAAATGTTGCTGGTGTGACTGGGAGGACTCTTCAGATTACTTAATGTTGCCTAAGCAGGAACCTATAAATCTGCTTTCAACTTGACAATCATTGAACTGCAGAGCAACCTCTCTAATTCATCCCCTCAAGCACGAAATGGAAGCACCCTTCAAGGTCTATTTTTAAAAAGTCTAACAAAAGAGTCTACTGCCTTCCAAAGTACTCTGTCCCACTTACTGCGAGGAAATTCTCCTATGTTTATTTGGAATCTCTTCTAATCAAACCTGTTGTTTAAATAAAGATTCCAAATAATCATACAAAGAATTCCCTCCTAAGTAGTAGAAAACAAGGTCATGCTGTCTTCCGTGCAACAGCCTTTCTATATCTGAACAGGGCTGTCAAAGCACCTCTCGGTCTTCATTCCTTTGGGTATGTGGGTGGCATATAAGTTAAATAAATAAATAAATTCCTCCGTACAAAACATGCATAGCTTGGCTTCCATATTTTCCACTGTTTTGGTCACCCTCTTCTGGACACATACCAGTTCATCACTATCTATTGGCTATGTAAGGATCACTAGACAATAGGTCCAATTTCTTGCTCTAAGCTTTATCTGCTGACCTTCAGTGCTCCCACTCTGCATTCATGCTTACATACAGCCAGCAAAACCAGGAATCTATAGGTCTGATTTGAGTTAGAGACAGAAGCCTCTTACCCCACCAGGTGCTGAGCGTGTCTCCGAGGTCTCCTGATACACTTTGGGGCCGTCCCCCAGATTTGAGTAGGATATGACTGTGGAGGAAGTAAATGTCTGGCAGTTGGCACCACTCGTCATGTGCTCCTAGGAAGGGCGAGAAAGAGCAAAGCAAGTAAGCAATCTTAATGCATCCACTTCCGGCCCAAGACAGGAAATGACTGCTTCTGCCACCCTCGTCTTTCACCTCTTCCTCTTCCAAGAGATAGTTTATCTACCTTTCTATTTATTCTTTCTCACTAGCGTTGTTCCAGGAGAAAGAATGAATAGAAACCTTCCTGGAGCTAGAAGAAAAAAGATATTGGTGCTGCCAGGGTTCTCTGGCCACCTCACTCAAAGCAGGCTGAGGTATCTTACAAGAAAGTACGGGGAGAATTATTAAAGGAATAAACTTCTGCTTTCAAGCAAAACTTTGCAGCAATTAAAGATGAATTTTACAACTTGAATAAACTTTGTCCTAATGTAGCCAGTTTCCTTCTACAATTCTCTTTACAGATCTTACACTACAGTTTTTACTAGTTAGTACAATCTGTTCTGGTTCTGTGTTTTTTGTTGTTGTTTTGCTAGATAAGGCGAGAGATGTAGGATATATACAGGGCATTGAAACCCCATCTCTGAAAATGCCATTCGGTCATTCTCTTGGTTGAGATTGCAGCAGATGCTTTTCACTCATTTCCAAGAATAATTTGAAATGTTCTAGTATATTCCTAATAATATTCCTAATAATAATATCCCATAACAATGCACTAAGAACGTGATTTTTGTAAAAAAAAAAGGCCAAAAATCATAAAAATGTCATTTATACTACCAAATTTTGTGTTTCTTTTGAACTCCTCCTACATGGCCCTGGTCTTTTGGTATCAAAAGTGGGATGAAGGAAGAGAGAAGTGTCTGCCCTTTGGAAGCAGAATCACACAGCAAAACCCCAACTCTACAATATGCAACTTAAAAAAAAAAAAAGACAAGGCAAGGCGAATCATATGAAGCTGTCCTACTAGCCTGCACCAAAAGCTGCTCCTTTATATGAGCAGTGACTGTTTGCCTTCCATATACTTCAAAAGCCCCGGCACAACTGGCTGCTTTCCACTCCATGCACTCAATGTGAAAAGGCATTCCAAAGTCGTAAGGCGCTTTTCCAATCTTTGTGTTATCCCCTAATATGATGTGATAAGGACAATATAAAGTGCAGAGACTAGGCTTTTTTGGGGGGGTTGTTTTGTTTTTTTAGCACAGTCCCTCAAAAGTGAGAAGCTGCCTTCCTATCACTCACATCCCCTTCCTCCTGGCTGCATGAAACAGACCTCTATCTTCCATTATTACATCACTGGGTTAATTGTAGGAGAATGTTAATTGCTTTTAACTAATATATAGTAATTGTATTTTTTATGATTATAAGGCTTTTTTGGGGGGGTTGTTTTGTTTTTTTAGCACAGTCCCTCAAAAGTGAGAAGCTGCCTTCCTATCACTCACATCCCCTTCCTCCTGGCTGCATGAAACAGACCTCTATCTTCCATTATTACATCACTGGGTTAATTGTAGGAGAATGTTAATTGCTTTTAACTAATATATAGTAATTGTATTTTTTATGATTATATATATTTTATTTGTAGGAGAATGTCATGGTCTACAACTATTGAGTAACAACAGTGAGGTACAGAGAGGGATCTTACCATGTTGCCAATCATGTCGTTCATCATTCCAAACATGTCCATAAAACCACCTGCCTGAGGAGAATGGAGGTTTGGTGTAAGAGATGTGTTTAGCCGTGATACATTGCGAAATGATGCTTTAGCAGAAGGAACAGTACTTATGCTTCTGACAGAAGGTGGGTTTTGAGTGATAGCTACTCCGCAAGGGGGTATACCCTGAACTGAAGGGCACATTCTCTGAATCACACTCAGATTAGCAACCACTTTTCTATTTAGCAAATATGTACTGAAAACATTAAAACAAGCTTTTCCTCCCAAGACAATACATGTGATTCTTCCCCAAATCATGTATATCATCAAGTTCAGAGGCTTCTAGTAAGCCTCCCCAAATCATGTATCTTTATCATCAAGTTCAGAGGCTTCTAGTAAGCTTCATGGGTTAACAGGGATTTTCATTCGTTTCCCTGTTGCATATCCAAAGCTCTAAATCATGACAGCCAGGATGTGACCCCGAAGATCACCGGCCTACAGCTACCATAATTCCTCACTCTTGGCTATAATGACTAGGGCTGATGGGGGTTGTAGCCCAGCACCATCCGAGTGACACACATTCCTCACCCTTCAGTTACATTATATTGGTGCCACTTTACATCTACAACTACAGAAGCTAATTAGAGTTGTTACATAGAAACTTTTTACTTTACCAATGTATGCAATAAATGAATAAAGGGAGGAACGCGCTGAGAACTTGACTAGGAAACTAAACCAACATCTATGGACCCAAGTATCCCTCTCATTCACCTTTGCCAATAACCCAATGTCTGATGCAATTCTGCCCAGGGCTGTCTGGATCTGGCAGGTGCTCTTGAGGCAGGAGAGCTGATGCTTTCACTCCTACTACTTCTCTCCAACCTGTCTAGCTGAACATATCAGTCAAATAAGTTTTCTGTCCTTGTCTCATTCTGCCATACTCTTGATCTCCAGCATTCTGGGAATGTTTTATAGGACATTTCTTGCTCTTGGCCTTCCTCTTGCAAAGAGGTAAGAAAGAAACTCCTTTCCCCTTTTTGGCCACGTGTTCCTGCGCTTCTCACCTGTGAACTAAACAGCACACATTTTGACAGTCCTCCTTATTCTGTTCATTTCAAAATAAAAGTCTGTGACAGAAGAAATCTGGGATGTTGTTCAGAGAACTTGTACTTGAGAAGCACATTTGAGGGGACAGGCATGGGAGGGAAAAAGAAAACTAGGGCTCACCATTCCAATCATCCCAAACGGTGAAATAGTTCCTGCCTGTAAAAGGACAGAGGCATACAAATAATTAGATTCTACGTTTCATAATAAATAAATCTTATAATATCCTGGAGTAAGAAGGGATAAAGGGACCCATTATACAATTAAGACTGAAAAAGGATATATGAGCTGTACACATACATGTCCACTACAGTTAGAGCAGTTATTATGACTTTAAACTTGCTTCAAAGAGGCAAATTCCAGATATAATCACCTGCCTGCTTTAGAAATACTGAAAGGTTCAGTGGAATTTCTGTCCAGCAGCCTAAATATAAGATTGCCACCTTTGCCATGAAGCCAAACAGATGACAGATCTCTTGCTTTTGGCAAAAGTAACATTCAGGAACCAAAGCAAGATGCATATATTAAATTATTTGGAATCAATGAACATCACATGTAAAAGTAGAAAACCAACACCATCACATTCAGTATCAAAAGAGAGACTCTCTTGAGAATAGGGGAGTTATTTAATAATAATGTAAAAGATAATGTCAAGTTCTTTTAAGAAACATGGTGATTATCTCACGTTATTAGGAGACTCAGAAAAATACATCACACAGATTACAAATGTTAGATATAAGTCTGAAAAGGAAAACACTATCTACCCATACTGACAAAATGCTAAAACTTTAAATATTTCCTTTAAAAACTGGAAATCCTCCTAAACTGAGAAAGTACACACACACACACACACACACACACACACACCGCACACCGCACACCGCACACACACACATAGATGCACAAGGATCCTATGCATGCCAAATATTTGGTAGACCCTTAAAAATCCAAGTAGAACATACACAAACACAAAGAAATAAAATCTGAGAGTCAAATGGTTAAATTGTTTTTTTTTAAACAATGCTTAACTATATCAGAAGCAGGAAATATGGGAGAGAGACTACAGGACTCTGAAAGGAAAACAGTACCGTATTTGCCGGCGTATAAGACTGGGCATATAAGACGCCCCCCCAACATTTCCACTCAAAATATAGTGTTTGTTATATACTCGCCATATACTACCCCCTCTTCCGCACACCTTCCACACACCAAATAAAAGGTGCTATTCATTGTCACCATTGTACGGCCGCAGCGTGACTGCAGCGCCTCCGGCCCGCCCCTGCATCTCCCTGTGACCAGCACTAGTGCACAAGTGCGCATGTGTGAGCTCTGCGTAGACAAGGGGTGGGCTGGAGCACCGCTGCTTCCCGCCGAGCAGAACGGGCCGGTCACATCGAAAAGGCTGGCACTCCTGTCTCGTTGCTGATGCTCACCACGGCTATGCTGGATACCGTGCGATACTGGACGGTATGTAGAATGAGGTGGGCAGGCATCGGCAGGCTACTATGGGCACCGGGCGAGCATCGGAAGGCCACTATGGGCAGCTATGTCTATCCCAACTGAAGTGCACCCGGCGTATAAGACGCCCCCCCCCAACTTGGAGGCATGTTTTTCAGGGCAAAAAAGTAGTCTTATATGCCGGCAAGTACAGTATATAGTAAGTGGGTGAGCAAAGGGAAGACAGAAAAAAGGTAGTAGCAGTTAAAATAGTATTTTGCATAATTCTTAACCACAGCCATTATTAGAGAGAACTCTCTGCCTAAACTATTATTTTCAGGAATGGACTAATACTTAATTTACTAAACTAGCAATTGACATGATAAGTAACAACATTTCAGGTCACATCAGCAGAGCATTCTTACAGAACTAAAATATTGCTACAAATGTATATCATAATCTGAAAAATAATTTCCTTGCCAAAAGATTACATGATGACCAGAATAAAACCATTCTTAAAGAAGAATCAGGGGAATCCCAGCAAACTAAAAATAAGGCTGCTTAACTATTGTCTTAGGTAAACAAGTAGATGGCTATTATCAATATTTAAATTAACAAGCCTTGCTGAATAAGAATCTGTACATCTTGCCTCACAAATGTTTAAAACCTGATGACGTCTATAAACATAAAACAGAAAATGTATACTTGGGACTTTCCAACTACTTTTGAAAGAGCTCCCCCCAAATGAAACACAGTAAGAAGATAGGTGCTCTTATGCATGAGCAACTAGATAAGGAAGGGCAAGCAAAACCAGGGGATGAACTGGTACAATGCCATTTAATTTCCCCCATCCAAATCACTGTCCTGGGACCAGTGCATTCTTCATCAGTTCTCTGAAAGGACAGTAAAGAAGCCCAATTCATGAAGCATGATAAGCAGTTTCATATGGCACCTGTCTTGCAAGGCAGGCCAGTTTTGTAGGGCTCTAACCCTAACCTGCCACCATCCCTCCCTTTGTCTCTAGATGAGGAGGCAAGCCAGATTGTTTGCTAGGAAAGAAGGAAGCTGGCCTTCCTCTCTTGCTGCCTTTTAGGTAGAAATCTGAGAATCTTTACAATGAAGTGTAGCTGGTAGGCAGATGGAGGACAGAAAACTCTCCCTAAGATCTGTACCTTACCTCTATGCTACTCCAGTTTATTTTACCACCTCCTCCGCCTGCTTCTACAATTGCTTCCTATACAACAGCTTCACTTTCTTAACCACCTCTTTTAGTTCCTGTTTTAGTTATGCCTAATTGCTTTTTAATTAAACAATTAACCTTTTCTTTCACAGGAGAGAGACACTGTCTCTCTGCCTCCTAGACATCTTTACTCACTCCAGTAACCCACTGCTGCCTTCCTCCAGCCTCTCCAGGGTGCAGGGCCGCTGTCCTTTATCAGGTTGCTCTTCTGAGGCAAGGGAAGCAGCTGTCGCCTGGCCCAGAAAGTGCAGGAGTAGCCTTTTCCTCTTGCATATCTACAAGCTATCTGTCCTTTTACTTATTTGAATCATTTTTATACTGCCTTTTGAAGCAAAGCCTCAAGTCAACTCATAAAACACAGTTCAAAATTATTTTTTCTCCTCCCGTATTCTCACTTTCACTTCCTTCCCTCACACCAAGCCAGACGCTCTGTCCATCTGTCAGCCATTTCCTCTTTCCTCCCTTCAACTCCACATGCCTCACAACCTTGTTGTCTCATCAACTCTCACTCCCACACATGCCTAGACACTATATGTGCAGGACACTTCAGCTGGCACTGAAACCACTCAAAGTCTCTGCAGTGGCTCTGGCAGTCAAACAAGGAGTCATCAGGTAGGCCCCCGCTCCGTGATTTCCCCCACCCTACCCTCAGAGGTGAACTGAAGCCCATGGGTGGTCTCAGCCCACCTTTTGCGATGCTGTCTGCTGCTCCTTGCCTGTTTGATTTCCAGACATGGTTTGGGATTTAATATGCAATTGCTTCCATTTCTGTGAGCCAATGAAAATGTTTTGTGGGATGGCAAGGCAGAATGTAAATATTTTAAATGGAAAATAACACAACTTGTATGTTTCCTCAGTTTTTATTGCTGGGAAGCACAAGATGAACCGGCTTTGTTTAGCCATGTTTCTGGAGAGTGCCCAATTTCTTAACATTTTCAAAACTGAGTAAACGTTGGAAAAGAGACATCTTTCCAAGATATGCCCTTTCTGTCTTTCTTTTCTCATAGTCATTAGAGGGAGGGGGGAACACAGCCAGCCCCAATCTTAGCTTTGCATTACCTGCATTCTTCTGCTCGCCTGGCGTGTTCCAGGTACAGTCCCATTGCCAATGCTGAGAAAGGGATTATAACCAAAGCCACCTGAGAGTACACGGTTCACATGCTGATGGTGGATGGCAAGAGGGTCCCTGAAGGAAAGGAGGATTCATTAAAACATTAGACTGCAAAGTAATCCATGCCATGTGCAACCCTCCTCTTCATCCTCTTCTCTCCCAGGAGGCAAGATTTAAGCACGTGCAAAGTAATCCACACCCTCCTCTTCATCCTCCACTTCTCTCCCAGGAGGCAAGATTTAAGCACCGTACTCACATCACAAACATTGGATCTTCTGGCTCTCCATCTCTCATGAACCGAAACATAATTTCCTCAAACACAGGGTGGGCTGTCCATAAAGGAAACAAAATTCAAATACAAGTATTACATGTATGTCAGCTTCCTTCTTCATGTAAACCTAGTCTTCATGTAATCCTGGGCCAAGAAAACACCACAGTACCATTGTGAAATATAGTCCTGTAGCAGCTACCTACAGTACCCAGCAGGTTAACCACTTAATAAACAAATATTGATAAACATCCACCAAGTGCTCTCCAGCTATTGTTTGCTTCCCAGAAACAAACAAAAACTGGAGATCTTGGCAAGTGTTATGAAAAAGTTATTAAGAAGCACTCATGTTATAGCGCAGTACAAGTTGTCCTCACACTACACCACCCGGTTTAATCTCTTCCCCAGCCACCCTTTTAACGTTTGGCCTTCTACAACACTCACACACTATGTGTACCTATGGTGCTGTTATTGTTACATGCCATCAAGTTGCATCTAACTTATGGGGATCCTAACAAGGCTTTCGAGGCATGTGATAAGACTCCAAGAAAGCACCGGTTTACCACTGCCACCCTCCACTCAACTTCCAGGGATTTGGATCCAGGTCTCCTGAGTCCTCATGGGAAACCCCATCCATTAGGCCATACTGGTTTTCATATGCGTACACCAGGGTAATCAAATTCGGAGGCCAACCGGAGCCCCTGCATCTTTAAAAAGCAGGAAGAAGGAGGGATCTATGTTGAGATTGCTGTTGGCAAAGGGGGTGGCGGTGGAGGTTTGAGATCCTTTCCAAATCTCGGGCTCTATAAAGGCAGGAAAGAGAACCCCAAACCCCTGGCAGCTCCACGGAGCCACCTCTCCCCCCCCCGTGAGCACAAGCCAAACTCTCCACGGGCCCCACCCACACCGACCAATCTTTTCCCTCCAAAAACTAAACTAGACACACGCCGTGCGTGTATTCGACCCCCCTCCTCAAGTACACCCGAAACCCCACCCATAAACAAAGCCATCCACACTACGCGGAGCCACCGGGCAGGAAGGCGCCAGGCAGGGAGGGGGGGCTGCCCTAGACCACACGCCAGCAGAGCGGTCTTGAGGGAAGAGCGGGTCGGACGCGCCCGGGGGGGGGGCGGTTCACACACACACACACACACCCTGGCCCCGTGTGCCCCGCATCACAAACA